GAAAGGCATTCTAGCCAGTGGAAGGTTCTGGTAGTTGGCTTTTTGGCATCGGAGTAAATTTTGCTGGGTGAGGGGTGGTTTGGCCACATTGCGCAATTGTGCTGCAAATGTGGCGGCGCGCCCCCAATGGCTGAAGTGTTGTTTTCCTGTTTTCCAATGGCGTACTACAACCAATCATTCAAAAAAACAATGATTTTCAGTGTGATAGTTGGCGATGTTTCACGTTGAACGTCCGTTCGTTCGGACGAATCACTCGCTCCACCGGTGAGGCGGATCGGTCGCTGGAGAGGTGGGTGCTCGGCGCCGTCGAACGCACCGCACCGGTGGGTTCTGTGAAGAGGTGGACGTGAGACCGGAGAAGAGGCTGAACGAATTCGTTTTAGTACGATGTATTTGATATATATATATATATATGTATATGTTTATATAAGCAATATATGTAATATGTACCATTGTATATATCAGTTTTATATGTATCTCGAATCTCTATATATATAATTATATTTGATATTATATATATATAGTTATATCTACATGGTTGCCTAAAGCACGGTGGTTGATTGCATTCTACGATCAAACGTTGATGTTGTCAGATCCAACTTGGTAATGTTTTATATTTATATTCCAAAAGTGGTTGGTTTCTTGCGATGTTTTTCGACCCCTTTTGTTTCAAATGCGGCCGCCTGAGGCGGGGCTGGACTGTGAGCAAACACAAAAGATCCTGCGCTACTATGTTGTATTCCCACCCTTGCATTTGGACCTGCATTTGACAACAATCGAGCACATCCACCAATGAGACAAGGTTCCTGCAAGGAATCAAAAACTGGTTGGGGTATATTTACGGATATGTGTTCAATGTTTTGGGGGTTGACGAGGTTGCAGGTGAGCTGCCCAATCTGAAAATCTTGGAAACGCATAGGATGGAAAAGCCACTCCCTGGACATGCATAGTCTTAGTCTTGAAATCCTGCTATAAGTCTTTTTTCAAACACTTATTCTGACTGGTGCTTCGTAGGGGATGAGGGAATGATTCTATTGGGAGCTCATTCCCTCATCCCCTACTAAGCACCAGTCAGTGTTCAATGCATTGCTTGTACCAAGCGCCCAACGGGACGCTCGGGAGGCCTGATCAGATGCAGTCATCAGCTTAGCCCGATAGCATTGGGTTTGCCTGGGACGGTGGGTCCAACACAGAGCTCAGGTGAAGAGCAATGATGGGGAAGTCCGATCCAGCGAAAAACATGTATGTAAATTATACAAGTAGTTCCCGGGCAAGCCGGCGGCGGAAGTTTCCTATAAGAAGAAATTGACCTATAGGAGTGTCCACGTTCTCTCCAACATGCGCGTCCTCCAGTCAAACGCACGCGCTCCGGACATCTCCGGACTTTTGACCCACGGGATTCCACGTGTGTAAGGTGTGTGTGCCCCCTGCGAGAGATGACACACATCCGGCCACCACGACTTGCCAAGGATGCGGTCCACATCGACACACATCCCACCGTGGCATTCTTCAGTGGCGGCAAACCTTGCATATCACACATCGGACTGAATGGAATCCGAATTTGAATGTAAAATCTGTCTTGAACTCTGAGACTATGTATGATGAGTCTTGTATGATGAGGGGTGTATGACAAGTGATGAATGATGAGTGGTGTATGTTGAGCGGTGTATGATGAGTGGTGTATGACGAGTGGTGTATGATGAGTGGTGTATGCTGACTGGTGTATGATGAGTGGTGTCTTGACCAGCAGTTGAATGTCCTGTCCTGCATAACTGCAACCAAATACTATCAGTATGAACTGAACGTGCACGCCGCGAGAGATGACTCAGCAGCGAGAGATGACTCAGTCGCGAGAGATGACTCAGCCGCGAGAGATGGCTATAGCGAGAGCTGACTCAGCAGCGAGAGATGAATGAGCAGCGAGAGATGACCCCTCCGCGTACTACGCTGTTCGCCAGTACAACTGTAGTTGTACTAC